ATGAAACGTTTCATTAGAGAAGAACCCGTCCAGATGACCTATACAATTTTTTTTCTTCTTGATTTTTTACCTGGATTACTGAGATGCATCAGGACACTTTTAGGTGTATTTTCCATAGAAAAAAATAACAAAAAAAAGTTTCAAGTGACAGCAGGAATGTTGGTTATTTAGTTGTTTTTTCATTTAAACAGAAGATTTGATGATGTGTCCATCCATCCATCCATCCATCCATCCATCCATCCATCCATCCATCCATCCATCCATCCATCCATCCATCCATCCATCACTTCTTATCATTAGTCTAGTTGTGGAGGCAACAGGTCCAGAACAGAAACAGACATCCTTCTACCCATTAGGGATGGGCATAATCGTATCGTGTGCAATTAATTGTCAGAAAAATATTAATYGATTATTTTTTGGCACTTGAAGATTAATATGATTAATCCACCWGGCGGACTGACTGGATTCATAATCCCTGTGACGAGTTCTGAGTCTGTACCAGGTTCTCCTCCCTGTGCGAGTCACCTATAGACCCTCCAGACTTATACTACAATGTTTAAATACCTTCTAACCACACATTGTTACTGTCAAGTTTTAGATTAACCCATAAATAAGACTCTTGGTAAGAAAATCTCAAATATGGTTGCTTCACCTTTTCACCCAAGTTTTTGGTGTCGATCCAGGGATTCAAATGTTCAACCTCCAGACTCCTCTATCCTCTACCAGTGGTTCCCAAAGTTGGGGTCGGGACCCACWGTGGGGTCCCGAAACATCAAGGTTTGAAAAGATTTTCTGAATTAATTACACAAAAAAATCTACAACTAACAACAWTTTTTTGCCTTTGTTGTTACAAATGAGTAAAGTTAGTGWACTTAAAATGGACAAAAAGAKAKTAATAAGTATTGTTACATGAAAACAATGTTTATCAACCAACAACAGCCGAGGTCACAGGTCTCTGCTGCTGGYATTTTGTGGGTCAAAACCTGAAAARTTTGGGAACCACTGCTCTACACCACATCTTAACTTTATTTGAATTAAAAATAAATATGTTAAAATAACAAGTGGTTACAATCGTTTCATTAAGGCAATTCCGTTTTAAAATCTAAAGTATACCCTTGAAGTCAACCTCTTTATTTTAGTTGTTTTGTTTTATTATTATTATTTGCCCTGGAAGGTGCGTGCCTGTACAGAAAAGACACTTTTTTATAAAAGGGTTAAGTCCACTGTAAAGAGAAAAATATTTCTCCCCATTTTTTAAACTCCTGCTGCTCAAAACTGATAAAGTAGAGAAAGACAAACCTAAAAATCAATCAAACCCTACGTGGCTGTAAGTGCGAGGGGGGAGTGGACAGAAAGACAGGTGCACCGGTTTATTTTGAGTGAATGGAAGGGAAGGAAGGAGGGGAAAGATGGATGCAGGAGAGGAGCAAAGGCGCTGATGGCGGTGGGTCTTATGCTCTGTCATTAGTTGGGCATTAACCCCCTCCCCTTTAAAGCCCCTTGTAATGACAGGGCATAAGAACCAGAAAGGGGAGGAGGAGTTGGGAAGAATACGTGGAGATTGAGAGGGTTAGAGCACAGCACCTGCCTGGGGTCACCGCCTCACCCCAGGAGGTCCTAACTACTGCCGTTTTGGCTGTCCGCTGCTCTGCCTGTGACACACTTTGAATAATCTGAAATGTAAAGGCGAACCGAAGCGTGGGGGGCTTCAAATCAGATATTTTCTCTTTCTTTGCTTGTTTCCTCCAGTTGTGTTTTATTTTACTCCCCCTCCTCCCCTCGTTTTCTTCCCCCCTTTAAGTGTACTTTTGTTGTCAGATTGTTGCGCTGAAATAGAGCGGCTAAATAGAGGCAACAATTTTCAGCAAAATTTCCTCATTACTGGAACCTGCCTTTTTAAAGTGGCTCCAAGTTTGTTTTTTTGTCAATTTTTAAGAACATTATATCGACAAAATAAACGGCGACATAAACAGTTTTTTTAATGAGTTCTCACAAGGGTAGTATAGGCAGCTGTGGATTGTTTATTTTCTGATTCCCGCCCTTCTTTTATTTTTTTTTTCAACCAAAACTCACTTGATTTATGCTTTCTGATGTATTTAAACGCCTTTATTGATGAAAAAGCGAAAGCTTTTTTTGCAATAATAGAAAAATCTAGGAGGTTTTAAAATTATACAGCGGAAATTAGTAAGTGGCTTAGTTTTTTTTAAAGCGTATTAAAACTTTTTAATTAATTTTATTGKTCGACATTTTGTTTTTCTGTTTAAATTCAAACATCTTTCATGAATCAACGACAAATATTTTCYAAGAATACGGTYGMTGAATTGAAAAATTAATGAGATTTTTCAAAAAATGTTGAGTGTTTGTATCTGAAGATGTCCTGACGTGTCTGTCGTAGGGCTGGTTGGTGTGTGAGGACCAGGCCTGTCAGAACAGAACCAGGCGTTTGCCCATCGCCTTCTCCCGACACGGACCCATCTGCCCTACCTGCCGCAGATCCACTCTCAGACCCGAGGTGACGCACCCACAAACACACCGCTCAGTTCAACAGAACAAGGATGAGAACTCAAACTTCACAAAACAAATTTGGCTGAGGATGAAGCCACACATCAGCGCTCTTTGTGTTCTGTAGATCTTTTCCAGGTGATGGTGCTATGGAGCTGCAGGCTCCACTCTAATGTACATCTCTGCTTATTAGTGTCACTTTTTACCACAAGTTTATCCAACCTGCTTTTCCTTTCCAGGTTATTATTTAATCTAATATTTGTTTTGTTTTATAGCTTTTGTGTGTGTGTTTGTGCTCGCCTGCCTTCACGTGTTTGGAAATCTCTAAGAGCTGGGTGGTAGTTTAGCCATTAAAAGCACCTGTCTRTGTAGCTGTGGCCTTATGAACACTTTGTTAGTTTGACCACTGGATTTGAGAGAAACACTCTCCCTTTCAATTTGAGCTTGACTTTTTTTTCTCCGTCCCACTCTCACTCTTTATTTTTTTTTCTTTGCCTTAACTCTCTTTGCTTTCAGTTTTTTTTTTTATAACACATTTGCTCCTCTGCTCCTATTTGTCTCCCCTCCTCCGGCTGCTTTGCTCTGTCTGGCTATGTGGCGACAGGTTGTAAACCAGAAGGCCAATTTCTGCTGTCACTGTAGCCACTTAGGCGGCCATTGCTGTGCCTGAGGGCCGTGGCACTTTAAACTGCAGGCTGAATACAACACTTAACTTTCTGTGCTTGCTCATGCAACCTTTCTCTACCCAAAATCTGTTGCCTGTCGTCATTTTAGCTCACTTTTTTTTGTTTACTCCCCAGTTTTTGATTGTGTGATCCTTTTTATGTAGAACTTTATGAGGTTATAGGAAGATGAGCATTATAGTTTAAAATGTCTCTGTTTTGTGATGTAAGCAGCCCAGCAATACGTTAGAGCTACCATCTACCTCTTGGTCTACATGTTAGAAATAAAACACGACTTTAGGTCTGTCACAATAACACATTTCACTAGACGATAAATTGTCTGAAATTATTGCAATAAACAATGATATTGTTTGGAAATGATTTTATGGAAGTTTAAGAAATTTACACACATAAAAAAGTTAAGAAGTGATCTGGACCACATCAGCTACTGAAGCTGCAACATCGCTACCCACCTCCTCTATCCAAGCTGATGCAATTTATTCTTTGTGTCTTCCTCTGGTTTCAAAAAAATAGATGCGGTTTCTAGAGCTGGGCGGTATGACMAAAGTTTTATATGACTGTATTTTCAGCATTTACACTGGTTTCATGGTATATCATGGTATTTTTCTTTTCATCACAGGTCAGCTGATGATAAAATGTACAAACTAGGGTTGGGCAATATTGGCAAAATAATTAATCATGATTAATTGTGGTATTTAGCCAATAACGATTAATTTGCCGATTAATGCCCTGGAGTCCCTGGACACCCTCATGTCCTGGTCACATGACCAATTTAGTGGGGAAGATTTGCTCTTTGCAAAAATCTGTTCCAAATTTTGTCAAAATTACAGACTTCAGGCTATACATCAAATTTTTAATTGTGTTGATAGACCAAGAAAAACTGGAGTTATGATAAATAAATTACAGAACTTTTTTGTGAATTTAATGTTCGTCATATTGGACGCAGAGAGGAGCATTAAGCGGACTGGTGGCATTAATCATATTAATCATCAAGTGCCCAAAAATAATCGATTAATGTTTTTCTGACGATTAATCGCACACGATACGATTATGCCCAACCCTAGTACAAACACTGCTTATTAACTTTTTTCTTTTACTTTATCTCCGTCTGTGTCTCTGTTTCCCTCCTCTAAACGTATTTTCTTCTCCTCCTGGTTGGAGACAGTAGTCACACATTTTGGTCCGGTAGTGAAGGAAGAGGGTTAAGAAAAGATTATTATCGGGTCTATTGTTTTACGTTATTTAATAAAAATCAGGACGACTCATCTTGCACACCAGTCAACTCAACTCCACTCTACAAAACTACTTCCCCCGAGCTTTTCACAATAGAAGCACGCTAATGTCTCTATGCGTCTCCATATTAACATCACGTGTTAAATCTAACCGTGCACGTCACTGAAGAGGTGTTTACTACATTCAACGATGGCGAAAATGGGATTTTTTTTTTTTTACATCAGTCAATATAAGCAGTGGAATCGTCACCCGCTGCCAGTTACTCCAACAAGCTGCTCCAACAATAACATTAGCATGCTACTGGTGCCGCGAGAAAAAGTGTCCCCCGGGAAACAGTTCACTGGCGGCCGCAACGAAACATTCGAACATGTTCATGCTATTTAATTATGTAGATAATCAGAAAATTCAAATAACAAAAATAAAAAAAATGATTCGGTACAAACCGGTATACCGCCCAGCACTAGCGGTTACTCTCATGCTGCTTAGAAAATTTACAGAAGTTTACAAAATTTATGTAAGATTRTGGACAGACCAGGAGTGGAGTTTGTTAAAACACACAAGTGCAGAAGCTGAAACATCTCTTCCTACCTCCTCTGTCCAAGTCAGCACAGTTTATTCTTTGTGTCTTCCTCTGGTTTCAAAAAATAATTGCGGTCAGCCGCACGCTGCTTATGAAGTTTACGTAACGTAAAAAAAAAACCCTCTGCAAACCCAAGGTGACCTGAGGCCATCCCAAGGCGTCGACGACTGAAAGAAGGCGTCAGAAAGCCGAAGACGCTACAGAGCTTRCGACACCATGTACCTGGCAAACACCTGACACAAACGTTCACTCCTCCCCATGCTAACGAGTAGAAAAAAGGGAAAAACAAAGAAAACAAACAAGCAGGCAAATGAAAATTATCAACCTCGTTTTAATTTGTTATGCTGTTAATTACCGTACCATGCTACTTTTATTGATACAGCACTTAAAACAGCACAAGGCCAACCAAAGCATTGCACAATAAAACAGACACATGGAGGACATGAGGTAAATTACATGAGTTTAAACAGAACTTATTGAAATGACCACAAATAGCTGAATAAGAACAACTATAATACACTGTGGTTTTTCAACTAACTTAGTCAGAGTGAAAGGTAAGTAAATAATAATGTGAGAGATGTATTGCTTATATTAGGCCTACAAGACAGAACAAAATAACAATCTTATTCAGTAATAAACACATCTGAATAAATTAGTTGGTGTCCTTACACAATAATAACTGATAAATACATATAACTGATATGACTGAAGCCAAAAATCTCAAATTTTGTCCCAGAAACTTTGGAGCTTGTCCTGTCTGCCCATTTTTCTGTGAATAGTGACACCTGAGTCTTCTACYATGAAATCCATAATCAGAAGGTGACAAACCTTGACCTTCGAGTTCGGCTTGAATGGTTTTCTTGGCTCTTTTTACATCTACACTGTCGTCCACGTCCTGGGAGGTTGGCTACAGTCCCATGAACCTTATGCTTCCTGATAATACTGACAGCTGTGGTGAGAGCAGCATGAAGCTGCCTGGAGATGGTCTTGTAGCTTTTTTTTTAACCTAGATATCTACAATCTTCTTTCTGAGCTCCTCAGACGACTCCCAGCCGTGCTAATTTTTGATCATCTCTATTACAAAGTCACAGAAACACTTCATCAGATTATAACCATTTTTATCTTTGGCTGCAGCTTCACAAATCACCAACTGCAATATTTTCATATTTCTGACATCCTGTGAAACTGGTCTTTACAGCTTAGTAATTCAGCTCGTCTCGCCTGCTGATTGGCTGATCATCAGTCCTCCTGCGGAGCCCATTGGACTGATTTGAAGCTTCTGTGAGACAAATCAGTCGTACGTCTGGACCTGAGGAACTGTCTGACAAAAATGCTGAACCTAAAGAAGGTTCAGAGAACTGTGTAGCAATAATTTCTGCCATATAAACCGAATAAGCAAATTTAAATCTAGACAGTTTAAGTAAGAAGTAATTTTTTTAACCTGGTTTCTTTTAGGGTTTTTCTTCTGARCTGCAGTTTTTAAATTAATGAAAATTGTTTACAAGATTTAATTCAAGTGCTCATCAGTTCATAGTTAACAAGAAGTAGCTCAGAGTTTATTTTACACAGGTTTAAACCAAATGAATTCTTCTTTACCACTTAAATTTAAGAGCTTTAMGRCTCCAGAAAGAATTAGTTCATGTGAATTTGCCTATTTTTAAGTTCTGAAAAGTTGTTTGATGTTTCCCGTTTGTCAAATGGCTTATGTAATGTTGTAGCATTTAAAATGTTTTCTCTGTAATTTATGTACCGATATGAAAATTTCAGCCGATATCCAATATAATTATTGCTGTTATGGCCGATAACCGATATTGCACAAACACACAATTTATATTATACATATACGCASAAACACACTTGGGTCTTTTTTTGATACCGTAAATAAACGACCAGACCTCTGACATTCTAACTAGCTCCACCTTAATAGTCTGATAACGAAAGTGTTAAACTTCTGGTTTGAGAAAAATAGTCTTTTGGAGCCTAAAGTGAAAGTCGCATAACCATTTTTTTTGTTTGTTTTCAGTGTCTGTTTTAAAAAATAAAAAAAACAGTCTTTCATTTTTCAGTATCTTTTTAAAACAAAAATCGAATGGCCGAAAAGTACACAAACCCTGTTTCTATAACAATCCAACTGAAATAAAAGAATAAAACTCTTCAGTAAATTTGCATTATTTAAATATTAACCTTTAATTTAACAGAGTCAATATTAATATAACATCTAAARTCATGGCAATCAATTCTATGGTAGATCTACTTGCGTTTATCTTGGTAAAAACACATGGTAGTACCATCTGTACCTGTCATATTCGGCTGTTYGTGAGTCTTTAAAAAGCTCAACTGAATGTAAAATAATCAGTCGGGTTTTTGTAAACTCTCTTGCAGAACTTTGATACACTTTGCAAATGTTTTTAGCCTTTAGACAGTGTGCTCCTTTAGACTGTCGTTAGCAAAAAATGGCCACCGTCCAATAGTACAGGCATTTCCCCTGCTGAAGTGCCCTTAACCCAAATATTT